GGTCTCGATCTCTCGACCTCGTGATCCACCCGCCTCGGCCTCCCAAAGTGCTGGGATTACAGGCTTGAGCCACCGCGCCTGGCCGAAAGTGAGGCTTTTAATGACAGTCTTGCAAGTCTGGGTGTCTGATGGGCAGGCACACCCAGCACGGGTCACAACGAGCAATTTATCCCCTAGTGGGCAGGCCCCTCCCCCATTTCCTCATAGGCTGAGTACCATCTTCCCGGATGTTGTTGGGTAGGGGCTTTAGGTGTTTTCTTTAGGGTTGTCCTGCTGCATTTTGCTGTAACCCACAGTGCATTGCAATCGTAGTTTCTTCAGGGGCTCTTCAGGTATTTGACTTATGACCTAAGTGGCTGGGTAGGCTGATAAGAACAGACAAGGCGAGCGATTCAGCAGGATGGTAAACTTTCATCTTAGACTCAACTTCTTTGGTTTAGGTGAAGGCAACTAAGGACTGGGGGGAAACGTGGGGGAGGCCGATGAGCAGGCAGTGGCCATCCAGGCAGGGGCCTAGCACATCCAGTTTCTTCTGTGGTTTGCTGCCCTAAGCCAATCAAGACACTTTGTCTTGGAAGTAACCACTGTATATGTTATTTCCTTCACCAAGGACTGATTTGGTAAAGCCAGATGTGCATGACTATGGAGAGCCGGGTGTGTTTCTCAGGCTGATGTCCCGGGAACAGTCACAAACACCCCACCACAGCAGGGCTGCCAGAGCCCTGGAGATATCTCCTGTCCCACTTCCTGCAGAGTGGCGGTGGGTACAGTGGTGTGCGTAAGGCTCTAGGTCCGAGGGGTGGTTTCTCCAAGGTCATGGCCAGACCCAGGACTGACACGTGGGTTCTGGCTTCCACATCAGGGCTGTGGCATGAGCACCGAGAAGGGAGACTGGGATGCCGTGACCCACCGCAGCGCTGAGGGGTTCTGTACTGAAGTCGGTGGGGCCCTGCGGACAAAGATCCGTGTCTCAAGGCTTGCCCTCTGCTAAGGCGGGTACTTGAGGGACCCCTGAGCTCCACAGAAAAGCAGACCCCACTGGGATAGCAATGTAGTATCCTTTGCAAGGGGCCACGCGTGTGCTGCAGTGTCGGGGCCCGGCAGGGGCTCGGCATTTGTGACTGACATGGCGGTGATTGTGCCAGAGGCAGGAAGCCTCCCTGGGATGCAGTCCAGCCTGTGAAGACGGTGCCCCAAACCCTCACCTCCAGGGCATGTGGGGCCTTCCCTCGTGCCTGGCTGGAGGCTCAGGCTTAGGGATGGGCATTAGCTTCCTCAGCAGGCCCCTGGCCAACAGCTGGGGACACAGTACCAAGGGTCTGGGGGCCTGGTGGTCTAGGAGCCTCTTGGCATCCTGTGGACAGACAGGCAGAAGGGCAAGTAGAACCCTCCCAGCCCCCTCCCTCCTCCAGCTTTGCCCACGTTGCGGTCTGGTCCTGGACTTCACAACTTGCTATAAGGAATGGCCAGGGATGGGTTCCTTCTGCTGGGACAGTTTGTGGGGGCGGGAAGGGCTGTAGAGCAGGGCCCCTCCCCCTCACCGCCTGAAAACAGGCAGTGTCCTCTCCTCCCCTGTCCCTCGGCATGGCCCGGAGCTGGCATCTGCCGGCTAAGATGGGCCCCAATTGGACTGGCCCCAAATCTGCTAGGTGGCGTCAGGCGGCGTGGGGGTCCCGTAGGGGCCCTGCTGGATGCACAGACACCTGTGGCCACACCGTTGCTGCACGCGTGATCATGGGCAGTTTTTCCATTTCCTCCTGTGGGCCTGGGAAATCTTGGGGGAGGGTGGGCTTTCTGTGCGGAGATCCCGCAGTGCCGTCGGTCTTGTTCGGGAACAGAACGGCGTGCTCTCCTTGTCCTCCGGCCACTGGCTGCCAGCAAAAGCCGTGGCAGGAACTCACCGAGTTGTGTCTGCCTCATCTCACCTTTCGAGAAGCTTCCTCTGGTCCAGCTGGCTGACTTCTCTGCCGGGCTCTTGCCCTTCCTGTGTTGCGTTGCTCGGCCCTGAAAGTGCCACCCCCACCGATGACCACTGGAGGGAGCTCCAGAACCGAGCCTGCGCTTGAGGCTGGCTGGAAGCCGCCGGCCCTGGAAGTGCCTTGGGATCAGAGTGTTAAAAGCTCCCTGCACTTTCAATCTTACAGCATGCCCTGAAGAGAGCCTCAATATCCCTGCCCCTTCTCCATGAGATACTGAGCCCTGATCTGCACTGGGGAAGCTAACACATCTCCATGTCCACCCTGGCGCTCTCTGACAGGCACAGTTGACTGTGTTGCCATTGCCCTCAGCAGGGAGACCACCTCCAACACTCCCAAAGTCCCCTCACCCCTCCATGGGCCATGCCCTCCCAGACCCAGACCTCTGGTGAGGTGGGTTTCCTGCTCGCCGTGCAGCCCCGTGTTTCTGAGGTTCACCCGTGTTGCTGTGTGTCCCCGGTCGGCTCGTGCTGTTGTGCGCGTCCCCGGTTGGCCCGTGCTGTCGTGCGCGTCCCCGGTCGGCTCGTGCTGTTGTGCGTGTCCCCAGTCGGCACATGTTGTGCGCGTCCCCGGTCGGCCCGTGCTGTTGTGCGCGTCCCCGGTCGGCCCGTGCTGTTGTGCGCGTCCCCGGTCGGCCCGTGCTGTCGTGTGTTCCCCATTCGGCCCGTGTTGCCGTGTGTGTCCCCGGTCGGCCTGTGTTGCCCCACGTGTCCCCAGTCAGTCCTTTTCACTGACGAGCAGCAGGCCCCATCTGTTTATCTGTCCGCCTGTTGCCGTGCAGTTGGGTTGCTCCAGTGTGGGGCTGCAGTGAACATTGTGTACAGTTGTTCGTGTGGACTTCAGTTCCCATTTTTCTTGGGTAAATGTCTGGAACTGGGACAGTGAGAACAGATGTTAACTGTGCTTAATTTTGGAAGTGGGGAACGTTTTGCCCTCCTCTCACCGGCTAAGCTGCACACTTAGTGTATGCCAGTTGCCTGGAGCTGGGCAGGAAGCCAGCCCGTCCAGCCCAGGTCTGGAGAGGGGCCCCAAGGGGTGCCGTGGCCCCTAGAATAGGATGGGGCCATGATTCCTCCTGCCTCGGGCTTTATTGTTTCTCAGACTGGCGCTGGGAAGAACCCTCATGCCCCAAGGGACTCTGCAGAAAGTGTCCTGTGGTGACTAGGGCAGCACCTGGTTCTTTTGTGCAGGCTGTTCGACACCCCTCATGGGAGATGCAGGGGAACAGCCGAGGCTGTGTCTGCCCCGAGGAGTCCCCCACACAGGGGCATGTGGTGGGCGGTGGGAGACACAGCAAAACTGCTCGCCACCGCTCCCTGCATGAACGCCCAAAGTTGGAAACAGCCCCCACGTTCAGCAGCAGCAGAGTGCACAAATGAATTGTGACCCGGAACCCATAGGATGTGGGACCTGGGAAAGTGGCGTGCACCCCAGGAGCAGCACAGGAAGCCCATTTCTCCGGAGCATGCGATCAGTCGCAGAGTGAGGAAGAGAGCCAAGGTCACCAGTGAGCAGAGGGAAAGCCAACCGCCAGACCCTGCCCAATCCTTGTTCTGGCCTCAGGACGCCTCCTGTCTGCACCCAGAGCTTTGCTGTCTGGGGAGAGCGTCTCGTGAAAACCCCAGATGCACCGGGCTCAGCTCGTAGCATCAGGCTGTGTTCATTTTGTGGTCCCTTAGCAAGTCGAGGTGGCTGAGCAGGAGAGGGCGTGGTTCTGTGAGTTATGCTGGCAGACACAGGATGGAGGAGCCCAGAGAGAACGGAGCGGGTGGGTCTGGTGCACTCACACGCTCCGGCTCAGCAAAGCCAGGCAGGCCCAGAGTGATTCTCTATGGGTTAGGGTTAGGGTTAGGGTGGTTAGGGTTAGGGATAGGGTGGTTAGGGATAGGGTGTTCAGGGTTAGGGTTAGAATGGTTAGGGATAGGGATAGAGACAGGGTGGTTAGGGTTAGGGATAGGGTGGTTAGGGTTAGGGTTCCGATTGCTGTATAATGGGCATGTTCACATGCTTCCTCCCTAGATATTCTGGTCATCCTTCACTTCCCAAACTGACGGCTGTCGCCGGGCAGGCCCTGTGCCGCAAGTGGAGGCAGGATCATGGGCTCTTATCTCTGCCGGAAGCCTCGGGAGGCCACAGGGCACCCCAACGCTCCGTTTTGTCCTCAGGGCCACAGAAGCCCTCAGGGGCGTCATCAATAGTGATTTGATGCTTTTTATTCTGGGAGGAGGAACGCCTCTGAGTGGTCAGCCCTTTTTCTTCTGTCTGCCTGGCTGACTCTTCTCATGCGCAGCTGACACACTTCCTCCTCTACTGTGTGAGACGCGTGGAGATGCGGTTCACCTGCCGAGTGTGTGGGGAGTGGAACCGCTCCTGGGTGATTAGGTGGGCAGAATTTCTGCAAAGAGGATCTACATAGGAATAACTTAAGTATTAAGACATATAATTTGAGGGACAATAACCAATGTTATGGCACTTTCTGTGCTGTTTTCTTTCATTTTGTGGGGGATGGAGTCTCACCCTATTGCCCAGGCTGGAGTGCAGTGACACAGTCACAGCTCACTGCAACCTCAACCTCCTGGGCTCAAGCCATTCTCTGGCCTCAGCCTCCCAAAGTGATGGGACCACAGACGTGAGCCACCTCACCCGTCTCTGTTGGTTTTCTGATGTACATCAAACATTTGCAGAAAAGCAATTGTAGGAATTTTGAAATTGTCTGGTAAGTATCAAATAATTTAATAGTCTTCTACAGTGTCTTCCTTTTCATATTCACGGATCTTCAGGCAAACAGGTGCGGCTATGGGGGAGGACTGAGCTGCTGAGCGGTCAGAGGGCGCCCACATCTCCCTGGGTTCGAGGCCTCAACATGCAGCATAACCCTCAGTCTATTCCTGGTTTCCTTCTGTCGTGTGCTGTGTATAAAAAATGTGTGTAGATTTCTTAATCTCTCTGCCACAACTCACAATAGATCCAGCTTCCTGCAACAACTCTCACACCTTTAACAAAGCGAATTCATGACTAAACTCCTTTCCTGAAATCTTATGTAATGAAGCACGGCAAGGCTTTTTTGTGGATAAACAAAAATAAGATGAATTATGTTGAACTATAGTAGTCAAGAAGTGTTGGTAGCAGCATTACTGACCCTGGGACGTCAAATGCTGACAAACTCGCGTCCTGGTGTCTCGCAGATGGGGGAAGAATTAGGGAGCTGGGCAGACAGCTACGTGGCTTTTTACAAGGAACCCCTTTTTCTCCCCCGGGTGGCTTAAGTTCTTGTGTCCTGTGTGTGATGAGGTGAAGGCCTTGGGAATCACTCAGTAGGCAGGAGGCACAGGAGGCGCTGAACCTTCCCAGACGAAGGTAGGCAAGCAGATGTCTCAGGAAACATCAGCAACACAGCTCCTGGGAAGCAGCCACAGAGGCTGCAGGGTCTGGGGGTGAGGATGGACGCCTCAGTGCACTGTGGAGGGTCTCAGGCAGCAGAGGCTGTGGGGTCTGGGGGTGAGGATGGAGGCCTCAGCGCGCAGTGGAGGGTCTTGGGTGGCACAGGTTGCGGGGTCTGGGGGTGAGGACGGAGGCCTCAGTGCGCAGTGGAGGGTCTTGGGTGGCACAGGTTGCGGGGTCTGGTTATGAGGAGGGGACTGGCTGGATAGGGGTGAGGGGAGGCCATGATGTATAGCAAAGGGTCTCAGGTAGCAGGCGGGGGTCTGCACTAGAGGCGCGTGCCTGCCCTGTGTGTGGCCCACCAGGAAAAGCTGACCAGGCTGTGGGGTGTCCCCAAGGCCTCTCCACTTGGCCGCCCAACACGGGTATTGAGTGCAGGCCAGGCTCCCCAACAGACCCGCAGAAATGAGCCATTTTGCACCCAGAGCCAGCGATAAATTGCAGTGAAGTGATTTTAGGCCCCTTCCGCCTCTGGGAAGGACCGGTTGGATGGGGTAATTCCCCAGCAGACGCAGCCCGGCACCACCCTCACCTGTGCTGTGGGGTCTGCCCCTCTCCCAGGAGCTCAGCGTGGAGCCAAGGGGGCTGGATCATATCCACCAGGAAGGGGGTCTCCTGGTTCACACACAGACACCCCACCCTGCAGAGCTGGGCTGCACAGGGAGGAGGGTTGGAGTTACTTGGCACCAGCCGCCGGGCAGGATTCCGTGGGGTGGTGTGACTGTTTCCTCATTGGATGCCAGGGTTTCCACGCAGGCATAGAGATGGGAAGCCTGGGACCATCAGAAACACGGCCCTTCCACCCGCTCCAGCTCCAGAGGGAGTGGAAAGGAGGTCAGGCCTGCAGCTTTAAGGGTCCTTATGTGATCCTGACACATCTGAAAGAAAACACTGACGGAAGCAGCTCAGAAAACTCTTTTCTGATCCTGCAGCTTAGGAGTCTGTCCTGCCAGTCTCATTTCCAGCAGGAGTCGCCTGCAGCTGCGCGTCCTCACCAGGCCAACTCTGACCCACTCGCAGCACACGATAAATAATGCCAGTGACCTCACGGCTGAAGTCCCAGGAGACTGGGACCAGAGCGTGATGTCCCCACGTCGATGGCAGCAAGCTGCAGCTCCCGGCCCGCTGTCTCTGGGGCCGGGCGTACTCAGAATTCCAGCAGGCCCAGGTTGTGGGGAGGAAGTGTGCCAGGGGTGTCCACAGAACACCAGAGCGTGGGGCAGCCCCCACAGACACGCCGACCTTTCTCCAGAAGGGTGGTGTCCGCATGGACATGCAGCCCTCACATCTCTTCAGGCCAGAGATTGCTGCCACGTGAATGCTGCAGACTTTGGGGAACATCTTCCTGTTTTCAGAGTTTTCTGGGTTTAGAATTGAGGATAGGGGATTGTGGGTCTATAATTTAATCCTAGAAAATTGTGTAGAGGCGAACAGATGGTGTGGAGGAATGGGGGCTTTTCTCATGGCCACATTTTAAAGTAGATGATTTACAGAACGCTGGTGGGTGGAAGGTCTCGAGTGAGGTTGATGAGGGACGATGGCCCCTGACTACGGACCCGTGCACCCAAGTGAAACAGGCCTGTCTGGGCCCCATCTGAGGCTGCAAGGGCCGCAGAGATGCAGATGCTGCTCCCAGGTGCCTTGGGAGCTGGCCTCAGGTTCTTCCCTGTCCCTCCCACCAGAGCCCATGCCACACAGCCTCCAGCCCTCTGTCCCCTGCAGTGGGGGGACCCGTCAGCTCTGGTGTTCAGCCAGAAACCCTAACACACCTTTCTTTCTTTTATTTTCTTTAGTTTTGTGCACACTTTGGGAAGTTGATTTAGAAGGACAGATTCATACTGAGAAAACCCCAGCTGACGTTATCTGTGGGGTCTGGAGAGGATGTCAGGGACACGTGGTGGCTGGGGAGAGCATGTCACTGCTACTGGATGGCTCTATTTAACACCAGCCGCGTCTCCGAGTCTCAGGCACTTCTGTGAAATATTCTCAGAATCCTGTGGTAACCGCAGCACACCTGGCAGGCCCAGCCAGCACCATGCCGCCCACGGGTAGGCCCAGTCACCCTGGTCTGCTGGCATGCTTTCATGGGGTTTCCTTCATTTTCATACTTGTCATTTTTCTAGAAAACATCTCTTTTTATAAAACAAATGAGGGGCAACCAAGTGTTTTGACCACAAAGTATGCATGCTGGCTGCAGGCTTTCATCACTTCATGGACAAACTGAATGCTGTGGGGGCCGAAGGCGAGGAAGCTTTTGCAGACGTGGACCTTGCGCCGTGTGTTCAGGAGACGCACGGGCCTCGGGGAGACTCATGCCAGGCGCCAGCCACTAGGGACAGCACAAGAGTGGCCTTTGTGGGAAAAATAAAAGTTCAAGAAAAACACCCTTCATATTTCACTTGTAGCAGCTCATCTGGGAAGGACGCAGGGACCGTCCAGGGTAGCCAAGTGCTCTGCGTCCACCAGAGCCACTTCCTCCCGGGAAGACTGGGCCTATACCTGCTGCATTCCCGCGTGGGAGGCCTGGGCCACCTGCACTAGCACCTGCTGCATTCCCGCGTGGGAGGGCCGAGCTGTCTACATCATCACCTGTTGCACCCCACATGGGAGGGCTGGGCCTACGTCACCGCCTGCTGCATTCCTGTGTGGGAGGGCCGGGCCATTAAGTGGCAGCACCTTCTGCACCCCCGCATGGGAGGGCTGGGCCTCTGTCCGCGCCTGCTGCACCCCTTGTGGAAAGGCTGGGCTTGGCCGCCTAAGTCAGTACCTGCTGCACCCCCATGTGGGAGGGCCAGCCGCCTAGGCCAGCACTGCTGCATCCCCACGTGGTAGGGCTGGGCCGCCTAGGCCAGCACCTGCTGCACCCCCACATGGTCTGGGGAGCATTGCCGGTTCCCCCAAGGCAGCTTCTTCATCAGCCGCCGGAGCTTGCCAGGGAAGCTCTGGTTCATGTAGCGGTAGAGAAGCGGCGTCACAAAGCTGCTGCAGAAGGCCAGGAGTTTGGACACATCCTTTGCAAAGTCCATCAGCCCCAGGTAGTGGGCATCCACAGGCTTCCCTCGCGAGACAAAGACCGTGCACCCCAGCAGGGTCAGGTAGTGCGGTGTCCAGAGCCCAAACTGCGTGCACACGGTGGCCACCAGCAGCCTGTGTGCCGAGGGCTCCAGCCGGCCCTCGTCCTGGTCCAGGGGCGTGTCCTCCCTGTGGACGCGGGAGAGCAGCAGCAGCGCGTAGAGGGCGGCCATCGCCGGCACCGCGTAGCCGATGAACACCAGCATGGCGTCGGCAGCCTCAGTGTTCTGCATCTTGGCGCACTCCAGTGCACGGGCAGACACGTGGCTGCAGATGTAGAAGAGCAGCGAGGAGAAGCTGGTCAGCAGCGCCCCACCCCACACAAAGCCGCACACGTGCCTCGTGTTGTACACACTGGCCATGTAGGTCCGCGGCAGCGCGCGCTCGATGTAGTGGTCAAGACTCAGCAGGGCGGTGGAGTACATGGCCACCAGCGAGGACACATTGAAGGGGATCTGGAGTGCCACATGGACGTCACTGCCCACACTCCACAGTGGCCACTGGGAGTCCCGGCACACTCGCCGGGAGCTCAGGGGGCTCAGCAGGTGCACGGGGGCGAGGGCACTGAGCACCAGCCCCGCCACCGCCATGTTGACGAAGTACACATCCGGCATGGTCATGCTGGCCTTGCTGTGTAGGTTGGCCAGCACTAGCAGGGCGTTGTAGCACAGGCCCACCGGCACGCCCACCAGCAAGCCCAGCAGTGACAGCACCAGCAGCACTAGCTGCAGGTCCTGGCAGGCAGGCAGCTCCTCCACCAGTCCTGTGCCATTGAGCCAGCCGCAGCCCCACATGGCGGCCGGCGGGACTCCGCAACCCTGCAGAAAGAAGGAACAGGAGGTCAGCACATGTCCCCTCCCAGAGCCCTGGCCCAGAAGTACTACAGGCCCTGCGCCTTCTCCTGGCACAGGAACCCTGGAGACTACAGCGAGGCTGCCTCAGGTACATTTCTGTAAAAATGAAGGTGACCACTGGAAAATGGCCACCTCAGATCCTGACCAGAGGTTCTGTGGCTGCACGCACTTCAATGGCTGGGGATGGGGACCAGAGAGGGAGACTGGCACAGCTCACGGGCTCAGAGCCCACCCTCCGTGGGTTGCTACGATGCCTGTATGGTCGTCCTGACTTTGTTGGATGGGCCCTGTGTGGTGATTCCCGAAGTTTATCAGGTGCCTGTGGGTGTTCGGATCCTGCCAGCACCGTGAGGGACAGGCAGTGTGGATGGTCAGCCCTGGGCCTCCCTCCCTTCCAGCAGCCCAGGACCTGGCACCTTGGAGTCCTCGCAGAGCCTGGGTTCCAGGGAGGGTGGCCCATGGGTCAAAGCCCACAGAAGGCTCAGGGACAAGCTGGTCTTGACGTCACTGAATGAGAACCTGGCAGGTGAAGCCATAGAGAAAGAATTCCCTCCCCTCCAAAGCATAGGTATTGCTCAGGGACCTGTAGCTGTCTCAGGAAATCTGATGTCCTGCGCATAGTTTGGCCCTGGCTGACCTCCTGTTCTCAGAGTGGAGTAGAAAGCATCTCAGGCAGATGGGCAGAGAGCAGGGTTCTGTGCCCAGAGATAGGAGTGGCACGGAGGCCAGATTTGGGAGCTGCGGCTATGAGAGTGGGTCCTCACCCACCATTCGAGTCCTGCCACCACAAGGCCCACAGGGCCACCGCAGGACAGGAACAGGAAGCTTGGGAGGAGAAGAGCACGGAGGGTCCGGGGCCTGAGGCCCCCAGTGCCAGCAGCAGTATGCACCCTGCAGCAGGTGATGCGGCCCCAGGGCCAGGCATGCAGGCAGCCAGCAGATGGGTGGGCAGATGATGTGGGAATTCCCATCCAGATGCAGGCAGGCTGGACGGGAGTTGTGGGTCATTGTGCAATCCTGACAAATGCTGCCCAGCAGCCCACAGTGAGGATCAGGTGGTGACAGGCAGGCAGAGCAAGGCCACTGCCCGGTGTGCCCAGCCACAGTGCCACCAAGCACTCCCGGGTCCTGAACCCCCGGCCCAAGCCCCTCACTAACACATCTTGACCAGAACCACCTGGGCTTCACTCGCCAGGCCAGCACAAGCTCCAGACAGGATGCACCTGCTCCCAGCACAGCAGCCGGGGGCATCCAGGCCTCTGCGGCCTTCTCCCCTCCTGCTGTACCAGGGTCCAGAGGACAAGGGTCTTGGGGATGTGTGGTCCCCCTCACCGCACTCCTGCCTTCAAGGCTGCATGGCTTTAGCTGTCACGGGGCTGAGTGGGAGCCCAGTTTGGGGGCGTCACCCCCCAGACGCCTCTTGAGTCCCCAGTAAACACCAGCCACTGAGCTGGGTGTCAGTATCCTGGCCTGGACTCACAGGGCACCCAGGGCCCCTGGATCTTTCCAGGGTCTGTGGTGAGAAGATCGGAGCAAGAGGGCCTTCTCGCCGTGTGCTGCCTCCAACCACTGACAAGAGGGCGCAGCCCAGCCGGCTGCCTTCACCCCACAGAGCTTGCCAAGGGCTGGGACCCTTCAGTGTGCTCCATCTGGGCATCCCTTCACTCCCCTTAGAGATGCCAGCCGGTGGTGCTGCACAGAGCCCCCCACATCCCCTCTCAGGCTCTCACCTTTACTTGGTGGCCCACGCTTCTTGGTGCTGTGGGTCCTGGTCACTGTCGGCGAGCAGCATGGTGGGACGGAGGCGGCCACCACGCTCTGGTGAGGACCTGGGCTGCCGCGCTTCTCGGCACACCGCGGCTCTTATCAGCAGTGCACCTGGCCTCCTGCGCGTGCGTGCGAGCCAGGGCCCCAGGATGCGAGCACTTGTTTTCCTGAGTTCCCCGCAGGGCCTCTGCCTCCCTTGGCAGGCACCGCCGCCCCTCCCTCCTGCTGTTTACTGCCGGGTTCCAGAAACCAGGGGCTGAACTGAGCACAGCTGGCCTCTGGCCCCACCTTTCTGACAGCCCAGCTCCTGGGGGCCGTGGCCTCTCCCTGCAGGCTCCTGTCTGATCCCTGCAGGCTGTCCCACTGAGTGCCGAGGGGCAGGTCAGGCCGAGACTTGTCCAGGTGCAGACAGCTGCCCCTGGTGCTCAGTATGCCGGAGACATTGGTTACAAGGTTTTTTTTTCCCCGGAGAAAATCAACGAAGGGTCTACTGCAGAGCGAAGGCCGGGCCGCACTCACTCAGCCCACAGACACAGAGGTTCTCAGAGGCACAGCGGAGGTGGAGGGCAGGCTCATCTCTGCTCCATCGGAAGCAGAGATGGGAGTGCGTGTGTCCAGCATGTCTGTGCACAGATGGGATATGGCACGGCTGGAGAGAAGTTGAGCCGGCCCCATGCATGAGCCTCCTGCAAGGGTTGCCTCTGCGGAGCTCTCCTCGTGGAACCACGAGGGCCAGCCTGTGGCCTGCCACGCCCCCTCCTCTCGGGGAGTCTGAGAGAAGCTGCCTGGACTGCTAATGCCTGCCCCACCATCAGCCGAGCCGGAGGGAGGTGGCCAGCGGCCAGCATCTGCCGGACTGAGAATGGCTCGATTCTTGGGAGGGTGTCACGTGGAGCGGGAGCTGCTGGCATTTCCTCCATGCGCTCACGTGCATCCCGCTCGCCATCTGAGCCACTCTCCAGTGCGTGCTCTCACCCCAGCCGGGACCTGGAAATGCCAGCCGGGCTCTCAGGTGGGGTCAGGTGGAAAGTTCTCCTGCATGCATTTTTATTTACTGGCAGCTGACAGATACTGAAGGATTTATATACTTCAAAGCTGCAGGCTGTTCTCTGTGCAGTTCACTAGGTGTCAACCACAAAGATGATTTCTGTTTCCAAGGAGGGTTATGAGCTGAGCAGCACCTGTCTTCCTTCCCTTTCCATGGGTTGGAAGGTGACACGCTTTCCGTGTTTGCCCCAACGTTCTCCCCAGGGCCCTCTTTTTACCAAGCATTGTCTAGAGATCTTCGGAGGGAAGTCAGCTGGGGGCGGGCGTTCCTAGAGCCAAGGAGGTCAGGCTCCCGCCTGTGTCAGGAGCTGGGCTGAGAGGCATAGAAGGAAGAGTCTGAGGCAGGCGTCCCCAAACTTTTTACACAGGGGGCCAGTGCACTGTCCCTCAGACCGTTGGAGGGCCGCCACATACTGTGCTCCTCTCACTGACCACCAGTGAAAGAGGTGCCCCTTCCTGAAGTGCAGCGGGGGGCCGGATAAATGGCCTAAGGGGGCCGCAGTTTGGGGACGCCTGGTCTGAGGAAACTCTCTCCTTGGCCACACTGGGTGGATGAGTCTCTGTGGCCCGCCTCCTCTCTGGAGGGGCTCCTGGGGACCGTGGTTCTGTGGCCCGCCTCCTCTCTGGAGGGGCCCCTGGGGAACGCGGTTCTGTGGCCTGCCTCCCCTCTGGCCAGGCTCGTGGTAGGAACAGGGGTCCCTGGGAGTGCCCTGTGGGAACCAGTTTGAGTCTTTTGCCTCTGGGTTCCTAGTCACGGCTCCCAGAGGAGTGAGCATGAGGTGCAGGTTTTGAAGGCTGGGAGCAGCAGATGGTGCCCCCAGAACCACAGCGTGCCAGGGCCAGCAAGTCGTGTGAGCCAGTGTTCCCACCTCTCCTGGTCACAGGTGACTCATGACTCATGCCCAACGCTTGCAGCCAGGCCAGCTCCCTGTCACTGAGCTGTTCTGGGCACTCTGGCAGGGGTCCTGTCCTGCCCAGGGTTCTGGGTGCTACCCCTGCATGGCCTGGCCCCACACACCTGCCTGGCCACAGCGGGGTTCTGTGGGAGCCTTGCCTGGCCCTGGGCGGGTGGAGCCTCCCACTCTTGCCTGTTCATGGTTCCCCACTTGCCTCTGTGGGCCCCGTTTGCCTCTATGCCCCCTGCTTGCCTCTGCGCACTCCCCCCCTCCGCTTGCCTCTGTGTCCCCCACTTGCCTGTGTGCCCAGAGACTTCCTGTTCCCACTGCCAGACTGTTTGGGGAAGCAGGGCATCCTGGAACTGGAGAACAATGGCCTGGCTTCTCCCCCCGCTGGGCAGGCCCGCTGTGCTGTCTTTCCCGTCAGCCACACGCTCTGCTGACTTCCTCCATGGGAAAGAGGAACTGGGAGCCAGGTGGTGGGAGACTTACAGGCTTGGGTAGAAAGCCCAGATGAGCCTTGTCCGAAGTGGGCCTATGTAAAAGCCTGAGTTTATTGCAGTGATGGAAGATTCCAGAAGCATCCTCCTCAGGAGGCAGGAAGGACAACAGAGAATAGCCACCTGCCCCCCACCCCTGTGCTGCGGGTCCCTCCTCATCCGGGTTCGAGGTGCAGAGCTGGCTGGCACACGCCCTCCCATCACCCATTTCTCTCTGAGCACTGCCTGCCTGGTAGCAGGGCTGATACTCAGCTTCCGGGGACTGCCACTGCACCCTCAGCCGACAGGGACCCCATGGGCCTCTCCTCCAGGCCAGCCCTTGCAGTGAGAGACTACCAGCTTCTCCCCCAGCTCCTGGCCACCCTCCCAGGCCAGCCTGTCCTGGCAGCTGCTCCTTCCTGGCTCTCCACCCACTCCTCCAGGCCCTGCTCCTCCAGCACCTCCAAAGCCACACTGCTGGTTCGACCACCTGCCTCCTGTTCTTACCACCACCAGCCTCTCCTCCCGAAACCCTCCCCCACAACTCCTCAGGACCTGGCACCCATAGGCAGGTCCTGCCCCAGGCCCACGTCGGTGCCAGCCAAGTGAGTGTCCCCAGTCAAGCTGGATGCTGGGGTCAACCTCGCCTCCAAGAGGGCACGCCTTGATTCAGGCTCCTGCTCAGAGGCTCCTCATGCACTCAGCCTGGAGCAGCCCTCAGGGCCTCTTAGGGACAGGGACTCCTCTGGGGCCAGGAGGGGAGGGGCTACAGGCAGCATCTTGGCTGGGAAGGTGGAAGGAGCTGGCCCTGCCTGGGCCTTGGCTGTCCAAGATGGCCCAGTTTCAGTCATTTTATTTTCCCTGTAAGAGAATTCATTAATGACACAGATGCAACTCGATCTATCCCCTCCTTCTGTTTTTTTGTTGTTTAGTTTAGTGTTTTTTTTTTTTTTTGGTTTTTTTTTTTTTAGAGCCAGACTCTCTCTTAGTCACCCAAGCTAGAGTGCAGCGGTACCATCATAGCTCACTGCAGCTTCTGCCTCCTGGGCTCAAGCGATCCTCCCATCTCAGCCTCCCAAGTAGCTGGGACTACAGGTGTGTGCTGCTACAGCTGGCTGATTTTTTTCATACAATGTTTTTTGAGACAGGGTCTCACTGTGTTGCCCAGGCTGGTCTCAAACTCCAGGGTTCAAGTGACCCTTCTGCCTCAGGCTCCCAAAATGCTGGGATTACAGGTGTGAGCCACTGTGCCTGGCCTATTTTGTTTTTTAAATTACTCTCATAAAAAGGGCCAGCCTTGCACCTACCGCCCCTTCTTCCCAATCCAGAGGTGGTTGACATGCGGGAGGTACATGACCAGTCTCATTTGAATGGGGTGAGACGTCTTTCCAGCTTCAAGGCTGGCCCCAGGCCATGGGCCAGCAGTGGACAGGAGAGGAGGGGATAAACCAGCAGAAGCAGGGAGGATGGCAGAGCCCAGAGCTGGCCTCAGAATGTACAGCCAGCCTGGCAGACGTGAGCAGATGTGCTCCCCACGCTGTGTGGAGAACTGCTGCACCCTCACGAGCTCAGAACCTCGGCCTGCCTGGCTCAGGGTCTCCCAGCCACTGTTTAAACTGAAGAGGACAGACCTGGATGCCAGGTGCACCCCAGAGGGCTGGGGTAGAAGTGACATTTCCACACAGCAATCCTGAGCCGGGGTCAGGACCCAGTGTTGATGGGAGGCTGGTGCCCCACGTTCTGGGGACAGCAGCTTCTCTGCATGATGGGAATGGGCCTGGGCCTCTGGGCCCCATGAGCAGCCATCTGTGAGGCCACCCCCTCCCTCCTAGGCCTCTGCTGCTGGCCTGTGGGGTGACTTCAGCCAGTCTGTCCATCACCCTCTCTAATGGCACGGCCGCCATCTCCAGCAGGTTAGGGTGAGACCCAGCTAAGCAAGAGGCTGGGACAGACAGGTGCAGAGTTTCTCCGAGATCCCCTGAGTGTCAGGCCTTCTGGGTTCCCGGTCCCTGCCAAGTGCCTGTGGATGAGGCTGTTTCCCAACTGCCCCTCCCTGGGTCCTCAGCTGGACCTCTATGTCATCCACTGAGCTCTCCTCATGCGTGCTCTTGAGGATAGAAGGTGGGGTCTTTTCTTCCAAGACCCCGTGCTGGGCTCTGACTGTGATGCCCAGGAGGATGCGTCCTAGGCTGCAGCGTTCCAAGCCCAGTGAGGCTGCCAGGCTGCCAGGCTTCCTTGCAGGCTCTCTTGTATCCATCCACCCGTACCAGAGAGCAGGGACACTGCTTGCAGGGCATCAGCTCAGAACAGGTGCCCCAGGCTCAGGGCTTGGAGAAGCCGGGGCAGCTTGAGAAAGGAAAACCAAAGAATGTCGGACTCCAAGGCCACAGGGACTGACGGGACAGGATCCCTGGCTGGCTTGGGCGGCCTGTCCGGGCACCCGTCCTTGTTGACTTGGAAGTCCACGGATACGCCTGATGCAGATGGACGGCTCCCTGCCCTGCTCTGAGCCTGAGCAAATGCCCTGGGGATCTGTTCTGTCGCTGATCTAAACCACAGTCCCTGCATGTGTCCAGCTCCCTGGAGAGCCCCTGACAGACGGACGGCCTGTGACCCTGAGCCACTGTGCCTGAGGAGCCCCTGCCCACAGTGGGGCGCAGGCAGGCTGGAGAAGGACAGGCTGCCCAGCAGTTCCTGTCCTTGTGCCATTGCACGGCCCGGGCCTGCAGCCCTGTGCTGACAGCAGGTCCCTCACTGCAGAAGACTCTGTGTTTGTGGTGCAGAGTGGGGTCCACCGGCGGAGCCTTGCTGAGGCCTGGCCGGCCAGAGAGACCAGGGAAGCCCTGTGTGTCCTGGGCTTTGGGAGTTGACAGTGTGGGGCAGCTCTCCTTAACTGTCAGGGTGGCTGGTGGCTACTGCCAGGCCTGGCTGGTGGGAGGGAATCGGGAGGGCCCAGGTGTACAGTTTCAGCTGTCCCTGCCGAGGGCTCCTCGCCTGGAGACCTTGGTGGCTTCTTTGTCATAGAACTCGGTACAGTGGGGCCCAGAATTAGACCAAAAACAGTCCTAAAACAGTTTTCCTACATTGAGAAAGCAGCACTGATTCTAGTCACTGCCTTGGCCTCTGGCCTAAGTCCTACCTGACACGAGGGAATGTTAGCCGGGGCTTTGTAATAAGCCTGCTTGTAGGAAGGTCCATGCCCTGCCCTCTGCAGGGGCCTGGCTTTGTGGTGGGCAGCAGTAGGGAATGTTGGACGGGGCTTCATAGTAAGCCTGCTTGTAGGAAGGCACGCACCCTGCCATCTGCAGGGGCCTGGACTAGTGGTGGGCAGCAGTAGGAGCTGGCATAGAACACTATTAAGAAACCCCCTTGCCCTCCTTCCTCCTGGGAAGGAAGTGGTCAGGGTCCTGGGCTCTGGCGTGGGCAGCCAACGTGTGCACTCCAGGCTGAGCTTTTCCAGTCCTGGCTTGCATGCGGGTGCCTTTGCAGGCAGGTGACTTCCTTGCTCTATGCCTTGGTTTCCCCAGGCTTAGGAAATCCTCATGAGACAGGAGGGTGAAATGAACCAACCCATGTGAAGCACAGGAGGGTGCCAGCGCGCTCCCCATCACCAACCCTGGCCTAGGATGATGCCTGCAGACCTGTAGCTTCCTCCCAAATATGAAGGGCAGAGGAAGCTGTTCTGTGACCTTTTGCTTAGAATCTTTGTGAACAGACACGTGTTGCAGGGGAACCATGGGATGGGGCAAGATGACAACAATATGGGCCCCGTCACACCCCACACTGCCAGTGAATGTGGAGGAGGCAGCCCTCAGGACACACCCTGTGGGTGGCGCTCGCCCTGGGAGCTTATAGTCAGACCACGGAGGCTCGGAGAATGCACGGTCAGACCACAGAGGCCCAGGGAGCACACAGTCAGACCGCGGAGGCCGGGGGAG